AGATAAGAGCTGGACAAGGGAGGAACACATGTACCCACCATCACCACCTAATTAACGAATCACGGTCTCTTACGCATTGGCCTCGCAGCCTAATTCGTTAGGCGCATATCAATGCAGCATAAACAATTTCGGACTAGACCCACTCTGGTCTTCTCCGAGAGGTGCAAGTTGCGACACTCTTCGGTGTATAATCGCCAGGTGCGTGTCGAGGGTCCGTGAAGTGGTTTAGAGACGAGTTTGTTCTTGAATTTGTTAAAGTGCAAAATTCAGACAAAGATTCTATCTTCACGTAAAGCTTTCGCGTTATATAATCACATTAAATTTTCAATTCAATTAATTATTCTATTTTTCTATTCAATTATATTCAATTTTATTCTCTTTAATTTTTAAAGTATAATTTTATTTTATAGTTTATTTGAATTCAGCAATTGGTCAATTTCAAAATTCTCTTTGGTGGAGCGCTTACATGTGTGTGTGTCTTCCCAGGAACCAGACGCAGTTGGTATTGCACGTTTTACAAGAGGTTGATTTATTCTAAAATTCATACAAGTACACATATTTCGGTGAGTTGTTTCCTTTATTCTTCGAACTATTTTATGAATTCTTCGGCAAGTAAATCAGTAGTTAATTATTTAACTTTGGGATTTCCCTCACTGGATTATAATTTTATTTTGTATTTGAGTAATTGCTTCTCCTTCAAATCTACGGATTGCGCGTCTCGGATATTTACAATATTTTTTGTTCAGTTCATTGTGATTCACATTATTTTATATACGCTACCATTCTAATCGCTTCATATTCTATAGAATATAATCTTTTGAATATTTTAATTAGTTTGAATTACATTTCTTTAATTGCCTCCGTCATTTCCTCTAAACATTGCGATCTTGTGAAAGGGCCCGTATTGTGACTAGCGCGTCTCCGGATCCACAAAAACATTAAGTCCCGTTAACAATTAATTTTGTTAGGGCAAACAAACCTTCGAGGCTTTATACGCGCGCGTCCCACACGTAACAACTTTCATACTTGTTTTGTTTCGAGGTGAATATAACTAATTCATTCTTGAACAAAGCATATTCTATTTATAACAATTTTATAGTAGTAGATCTTGCCTAATTGGAAACACGGAATCACGTACAAAAATGAAAATAAAACTATCGCAAAGTGGCCACTTATCTACAGTATTGTGCAGAAAAAGTATTTGTAAGTTTGAGGAAGCTTACAAAACCGAATGTCGTTATTAAAACTTTATAACGAACGCAGATATATAAAAACGCTTTTTTTTGAAAGATTTAAAAGCGTAATTGCAAAAGAGCATCTCTGAAATGAAAATATGACAAAATATTACTTCTTGAATAAAAAATCTTGGAATTACCAAGTCGCATTTTTCCACATCACTGGAAACCAAATATCTACTATTCTTATGACCTAAACAACGCAAGATAAACAGGAGTCTGAGCTTTGCAATCGGAGCTTTGCAATTTCCCACCAGAGGCGTCGAAATCATACTGCGAGTATTCAGTACTTTAACAAAAATACTTCCTTCTTTGCGTAAGTCACTAAATAAGTTTAAAAATGTTGATCTTGGAGAATTGTACAATAATATTTTTGCATAACATAAGTGTTAAATTATAGAAACTTATAATTATAATATGAGTTATAGAAACTTATGATATGTACATATAATAAACCAATATAGTTTGCTGTTATGTTATAATTAGTGTGACATCGTGAAGGATACATCAATGACAAATCTTCATGTGAATTTTATTTCTTTTATTGTATTTTTTTCGCTCTGGATAGATTCGTAGGTAACGAGCAGCAAGCTTCCCATTTAAGCGGTTTGATCTCCAAAGCCCGTACATTTTGAGTGGCGGTTCAGTAATCACGATTTATAATTAGAATCATTCTTAATTTGCAACCCTGTTGGACTTGGTTGTTCATCTAATTCCTGTATCGTTGGGTTACAGTAGCTAGCGAGAGCGGGCTCCCCAATTAAGCATCTGGTTTAGGTGTCAATTTATGTTCTGACAAAAAGAGCAATTGAACTAGTTATAAAGTCGAACTACAGAGTGACTGTTTTGTGTCCAATTAATTAATTACTTTAATTTCACATCAAGTCTTGAATCTTGGATTAATAATTTAAAAAAAAATATATTATTGTTCTGACACAAGGTAGGATTTCGATAAACTTTTGTAAAAGAGCGATTTTTGCGTAGCATTTTAGCAGTCGACTACAGAAGCGGTAGATAATCGATTAGAAATCCGAATCTTGCTAATTTTGTAAAACCAGCAAGTTTAAAATCGAAAACCACGTAGCATTCATTGTAACATTTTAAAAGCTAAAATATGAAATAATTAGCTGGAAAATTGCTTTTCTCATCAATTAGATTCATTTAACATTCGCAGATTATGCATTATTTAATTACTGAAGTTTTTTATTATTACGCGATAAAAGTCTATTTTGTTCTTTTGTTAAATTCACTCATTACAGGAAATTATATCAGATATATGTATATACTGATATAACCGGAGGGTTAAGGGTTAAGTAAGCAGGAATTTACACAAACGCGTGTACGGTAGAAGTTAATAGAAAGAAACAGAAAGAATTTATACAATATAATAGTTAATATATAATTGCGTAATTTATGCATTGTCTTCACGCGAGGGCGGACGATGTTTTTCAATTTACAAAAACCATGTATAGATGCATGTAAATGTCATGCGGGGTCGAGGTATCATTACTCCAACATATCCTTTTTATATTTTTGCAAGAATAATTGTTAATTGTAATACTAATCCTCTTCATTCGTTAATTGAATAAACCTAATTATTGGAAGGTATTGATCTGCGAATTCCACTCCTCAACTCAACATCACATGAATCCCACATTCCTTTAGATATAATTATAATAAAAGTGAGTCGTTCAGTATGTAAACGCTGCTCTTTACTACACGAGCGCTGTTAACTCCTGCGCACAATTCCAGAGGCGTTACATTAGTGTAAACGTTTAAAATAATAAAAAATGTGATTAACAAAATTTTCACTCAATTAATTATCAAAACTCATTCAAGCACTAGGATCTTATTCTTTCTAACAATACTATACTATAAAACTTGTACCAGCAAAATTAATCTCGTAAATGTCAAAAACAATGAATTTTCGAAAGCTAAATTGGCAAAGCGTAATCGGAACTTTTGAAATGTCACAACATCGACTGTGAAAATACATGAAAATACATGTGTGTTGTAGCACGCCGGACGCTTTACGAGCTTATTCCAATTCCGGCCCGATGGACATACGGCTAAACGGATTTCGTCAATTCATTTACCACTTGATCTAGCCGCACATTTCAATTATATGTGCACTCTTTGTCGGTAGTATCTGGCGTGTCATGCGACCCACACTGACGCGACAGTTCCTGATAAAGTCGTGGGAACGGATGCGGTCCACGGTACAATTGAATTAATCTCGATCGAACAACACAGGCTTCGAAACGAAACAGGAAATCGCGTTGTCACGCTCAAAATCGAACAAACGCGGCCGCGCTGAATCTATTGGCCGTTATTACCTGTTACTGTTTTCCAGAACGTTACACGTTATTGCCTCACCCGCGTTCTTTTTATCTTTTTTTTTCCTCTATCGCTCCGTTAATTAGAATGTAACCGGTGCCGTACGATTAAATTACTCGAGCAGAAGTAATTTATACGATCGCAAAACTGCCCGGTCATTTAGAAACTAAGTTTACAACGTTTTCAGGGATAATCTGCACTCTGTAGATTTAGGAAAGTCGATTTATTAGGAAGTTTACACGGTATAAAGATAAACAGAAATTCATATACAATTATATACGATTGTAAGCAATTTTGAAATATGGAAATTGCATTATAATTATGAATTATTAGTTATACAAAATTATAGAATATTCGAATACAACAAAATAATTTATGATACATGTAATATGAAGATTTAGTAGACTGATTAAGAACGTTGAAATACTAAAGAATGTTGTCATATCTTATTCAATTAATTATTTGTGTGATAACATATGTGTAATAATTTAATAAAAATCTATTTAATAAAAGTCATTAATTTGCTAACTAATGTTAGCACTTAGCTTTCTATAAATACTGTACTAATATTATGTTCTCATACGTTGAAGAGATAAACTGTAGAAATAATTACCATAGATTAGAAAAATAATGAAGAAAGATTATTTTCGCGCTTTCAATCCTTGTGCATTCGTTCATTTAATTATTCACTCATGGTCTCTTCAATTTTTATTAAAATACATGGGAATGCATGAAATTAATTATAAAATTAGGTAATAATATCTAAAAAATTTCTATTTATATTTTGCAAGAAAATATAAATTTGTATTTGTATTTATATTTTTCAAAAAAACACAAATTTTTAAAGAAAAGGAACAGAGTAATTTAATATTTCTAAAAAATTTGTCTCGCAAAATATTTTTATAATGCTACATCTTCAAGAGCGGTATAAAATATATGTAGATATTTATTCGATATCCTTCGTGGTTTATGAGTTATAAACACATACATAAAAGGGGCAACTCAGATAAGAAAGGTAGTTTTTTCTTTAAGGTATAAGAAAAAAAAAGCAGAAGAAAAATAGCACGGTTAAGACAATCTCTTCTCGTGCTATCGTTACTGGTATCTCTGAACATATTATACATAAATTAAATTGCGATCAAGTGTGTAAATACATGTAAATATTTGACGATGGGTTAAGAATATAGTGTAAATGCGATATAAAAATAGCTTCGGAACTGCTTGATATAAAACATCATCTCGATTATTATAAAATTAGGAGTATAATTAAAGATAAAATGCCAAAGCAAATTAAACCAAATGCAATTCTTAACGTGGTGCAACAAATAATAGCGCAAGATCATGTGAAAATCAAGGTTTTTAAATGGTATAAATTATTTTTAAAACATAGAGAAGTTACTCGATATGAACATTTTAGATCAATAATGGACAGTTGAAGTACCCGCTAAAAAATTTATGGACATCGATATATATGACATGCAAGTTTGAAAGTTTAGAAGAATGACAATTTGAAAATTTGTTAATTTCAGGACTTAAATATTGAGATATTTAAATATTTAGATGTATGTACATGTATGTATAGATATACAGGGTGTTACCTGTAACGCTACTCACGATTTTTCTCCCACTTGCAGCCACCTTACGAAAAAAAGTTTAGAACAATATTTGCAGGGTATGAAGTGCACAATAGATATTAGTAAAGCAAATTTTGAAAACAGTTTATTCTCTTGGCAAAGTCAAGGTCACCTTGAGTTTTTTAAATAGAAATATACATTTTTTTTATTCATAGCTTTAGAGGATATCGAAACGAATTCGAAACATGTATTACATGACATTTTTATTACCATATTACTCGATTTACAGAAGAGGAAATGTGAAGTAAAAGACAGGAATATTATGTGATGAAAGGCGGCATACATTTTGAACATGTAATTAATAAAGTGTATTTTTCTTAGATCCTAGTCGCGTGTTTACATTCAGTAATCTCTTCG